TGGCACCACCACTAGCCTATCATTACATTAATATAAATTTAAACTATTTGACCATTGATCTTTTCTATCTGAGACAGTTTCATTGCTATCTTAAAACCAGAAGAGTTGGAATTGTATAGAACTTTTATCAGTGAGGAATCACTCCAAATTATAAATACAATACAATATTGATTGATTGTCTTGTAAACTAAGTATACTAAAATTACCTCTCTACTCATTGCTTATGAAGTAGAAAGATGGCAGACATTATGGTTCTGATGAATAAACATTTGACAATTATTTTTTTTTTTAATTATTTATTTTTCGTTTCATTTCCATAATTTGTTCAAAAATTATTTTTTAAAATGGGGAAACAGGAAGTTATATTCAAATATACAGTAAGTATATAAGTGTCATTTCCTGTCATTTATATGAGCCATAATCGTACATTTACTCATATCACACCCCAGTCATCTTTACCCTCCATCTGTGAAAATCCCTCTCAGCCCCTCTATATCGAATACTCTAATCCCCTACTGTAATTGTTAATTTTGCATGCAACCAAATTTCTTGATTAGTTCCTTATTTCCAAGGGGAAATTGGTGGCTCACATCACACACCCCTCTAGTCATAACTCAGGCCTACGGTCCTCCGTTAATGCCTCACATCAAAGGACTCCGGCAGCTTGCACTGGGGCCCGTTTGCACCTATACTATGCTGCTGGGTGAAGCAAAGCAAAATGTGCTGGTCATAATTGAAACAGCAGCCTATCAACCATCGCTATAAACTAATTGCCGTTTGAAAATGGATATTAGCAGTGCTGTACATTAATTCGAAATTGATAGGTTACAGATTGGTGCAAACTAGTTATGGCTCATCACTGAGTTATAATAAGACAAAAAGTAGTGTACTGTAATCATAGATTTTACTTACTTGCTTATAGTATATTGATTGCTAATTCTGAAGAATACTTTACTCGGCTATAATCCTTCTGTATTTAAGCATGAATAACTGTTACGGTATATTTATGTGTTTGGGTTCTCAGTAGTCCATAAAACCATTGGTTATTTCTTAATAAGGATGTGTGGTGTGCAATACCATCCCCTTTCAAGTTATTTAATCAGTCAAAAACAATAACATTCCAAATTATTTTGACAATGCATGCATATATAAGGTCTATGTATCCAAGCTATACTGTAGTATGGGCCTGCAATATGTAACTGTACTTGTCGATGAATTAGAATCATAAGAAATTATTCATAGAACCATGTTGCAAAGAAAGAGCTTAGAATCTAACTCTGCTCCTTGTGAGTGCAGACCACGCAATGCCGTCTGCTGATTGTCAGTGGTCATCTGAACGGATCATGATTAAAACGATCAGTTGCGCGCGTTGTTGCATTGTACTCTTCGTAGAACTGTGTTAGGCGACGACTGTAGGGACGCAGTGAGTGCTCAGCTTCAGTCATGTTAGGATTCATGATTTTTTTAAAAAGCACCCAAGTTTTAAAAGGTTTAATCATGCTTTGAGTATATAAATCAATAGAAGACACTGTTTAAATAAATAGCATTTATATTGATATCATTGCACATAACATATATTCTGAACAGGCATACATTTCAACAAATAAAAGTAACATTTTCTCACAACTAAAGCAGGTATTTGAAAATAGAGTGGTATTTATTACAGGTTTCATCATTCAAACAAGGTCCAAGCTAGCACCCTCTACTCAGAACAGAATATAATCCATAGGAGGCAATGCATGATATGCTATCTAAACTCCAGTATTTCCTCTTTACCATTTCTTGATTGTAATATTTTGTAAAATAATTTACATTGGGAAAATTGAATTGAATTGGGAAAAACCTTTTCTAAACAAACAATTGACGCACATAAATATTATGCTTTCGATTTAGCTTTCTAAAGTTTTGAATACTCTCAGTGGCGGATCCGGGGGGGGGGGGGTTCAAGGGTTCGGACGAACCCCCCCCCCCTGTGAAGAAACGTAACAAAATACTGTGATAGTTTAGGTTGACTGAACAAACAAGACAAAGACAACCATAATGTTCCAGGTTCTTTTTATTATTGCTGATAACATATTATTTGACAGATTTAAATGACAAATTCAATTATATTTCATTTTTATCAGATTTTGCCACAGACAGACGAGATAACATTTAAACAAGAACTAACTTTGGAGAAACACAACCATCGATAGCCGCCTACAGTACATACCATACAACAGTATTCAATCTAGGAATGAACCATTATAATTGTTTAGTGATGTAAAGATAACAAAAATATAAAACGAGTCCAATAATACACTACCAGCTTCACACACAGCTGTACCATTGCGGCATGCATACCTATCATCCACTAACACCATTTCTTGGTTGCAAACACGAGAAATATTACCTACACTGATACTCGAATCAATTATAAATAAATTATTATCAAACATCGTTAAAGATATCATAATGTATAGCATTACTATTATCAAGGTACAATGATTAACAATTCATTAACATACCTGTAAACTCATTCAATTAAGTTTACGTTGCCACCGGCAAACCGTACCGTAACGATGGATGTTCAACAGCTAGCAACCACGTGAAAACCACTATATAAAAAATATTTGCAAGTTGTTCTCCAGTGGGACTCGAACCTACGTTCTCTAGATCACTAGCTTGGCATCATACCTCAAGACCACCAAGCTTGCACCTGATGGCCTGGGTTGAATTCGAGCCCAAGTAAGCAGCGAGTACTATTTTTGCAAGTGTTTTCACACACACACTGAGTATTCAGTACATTTTCACAACAGGTTTGACAAAATTACACCTATATGTTCTATTGATTTGGTCAATATTATATCATAGATTCATGAAAATGCCTAATAGGCCCTAAACGATAACAAATATATGACTTGACCATAGTTTGTTCTCAATATTCTTGAATTTAAAAAAAATATATATATTTTTTAGATATTTCTGAGCGTTAATGCCATACCGTATCTGTTTAAAAAAAATCTCAATGTATGAGCATTAAGAGTTTCGCCTGAGTAGACCCTACTAAAGGCTCTGTCTCTATGTCCAATCAGGTGCATTTTTACCAATTTTACCTAGGCCCCTGCAGTTATCTATGCCATAGTTACCAACCGTCATGCATCATGCGGGACAGTCCCACGTTTCAAAGTTATTTTGGATGAAACGCATTTTGCAGAAACACATGCAAGATCATATATGTGTCACGCATTTAGCACTTGCGTGATAAAGAATTATCACAAATTCAGTAGAAAACGTATAAAATTAGAAGAAATTGGTTTTATTAAAAATGTAGAAACGGTCATACAGTAGCTTGTGTCATTAGAGAGCTTTCATTATCTCGTTCAAGAATCAATTCACAGAGAAAATTTCTCCTTTTCGACCAAAACAACCTAACCAACCACGAACTTGTAGAATCTAGTAGTCGCGAGCAGTCTTGCGAGTTTATCGTTACAACCAACCGTTGATTATGTGACGGAAACTTCCGCAGAGATTCTGTAATAAGCAATACCGTCTCACGTAGGTCCTATAAGGTGACCCATGTATAGGACGACCCTCGAGTTTTAGAAGATTTTTGGTTGATATTTGTATGTCTGATGTATAAGACGACTCCCTGTTTCATGGTTGGAATTCCTATTTTTTTTACTGCTTCTAGCTGGATAAATGGAGCCAAATGCAAGAGTAATCTTCCAACTAATACCATTTTATGAGTTTTTAAATCTTCACCACCAAAGTTGTATTTTCCAGTATTTTATTAAAATTGCTTTCATTCATATAACATTTAGTTGCTTTATTGCAGAAGTAAGTTCGCGTATTACGGACAATCCGCACATAAAACGAACTTGACTATAAAAATCTAAAATTTGAATGTCGCGCGTATAACACGACACCCTGCTTTTTGATCGTAATTTGCTATTTTAAGCCTTGTCCTATATGCGAGTATATACGGTATTTGTTTTAAAACCCTAGGTCACCTGAGTGTTTAGAGGATTCCCCTATCAGTGGCGGATTCAAGGGGGAAATTTTCCATGGGGAGATCCCGGACCCCCTTTAATTTTGGGTATTTTTGGAAATGTTTTGAATCCCCCTCTTTCAAATTCTTGATCCGCCCCTGCCTCTGTTTTGTCAGCTGTTACAGTAAGTGTAGCATCTAATTTACATACGCGGTGAAAGTAGTTACAAATAACGTGAACCTAACGCCGTAGTTTTACACTGATGATGGAAACTGTTTTTCCAAAACATGTTTGTGTAATACGTAAATGTTTTGTGTAATGTCTAAGCAAGGTGAAAGAAAGAAGAATTAAACACCAATATGAGAAGAAAACTTACATCATTCGTTCTCATTATTAAATGTCTGGCAATAATAATCTCCTGTAATTTACATTGCTATTAATGCAGAACTTCATTAACTAAACAAAAATTAACAAGGATAATAAAAAGCTTTACTAATAACCTTTTTTTGTAAGGTCTTGGATTTGATGTCGAATGTGTGAAATGTGGCAGCTGGCACCCTGACCTCTGATGATTATTGCCTATAAAACTATTTTACAAAAGTAGGCTCCAAGCCGGAGCATGTGTCTACTGCCTTATAAAGAAGTTTTTGTTTTTCAACTTTTATCTTATGTTCTTCAATATGCATATTATATACAATGTGTATTATTGTAGTGTATCTGGATTTTTCATGAAAATTTTCTTTCATAACAATATTCTGTATTATAGGCCTACTACTATATTACACTAAAAACACTTTAAAAATGAGTAACTCTTGGAGCATGGACCTATTCTTGGAGTTACCACGTTTATGTCCTTGATCGAAAAGTACTGAACGTATAAGAGACAGGCCGCGGGGGGGGGGGGGGGGGGGGGAGTTCTGGGCGTAAGGTCCACAGTCGAAGCCCTGGTGGGTTTGGCGAAACTTCCAAAGCAAGAGGATTTTTGTGGTTTATGGGTCTAAATAATGCTATAAAAGCAGGTATGTCTGTGTCTGGGTGGGTCTGCAGTGCATTAGTTGGGTTGGAGGAGTTATTTGGGAAATTTACAGAGGGGGTTTCGCCAGAAAAAAGTGGGGTTTGCTACAAAAAGGGGTTTTCCCAAACCATAAAAACCCCCCCTGGATACAGGCCTGCACTACAATGCTCTAGAGGACGTCCTTCAAATGACGGTAAAAGGAGTTCGTGGCGAACGCGTGCTGCATCTCTATAATGCGTGTTTGAGTTTCAAAAGCAAATTTTTTTTTGAGTTCCGAACGCTGTTCGATTGTCAGTAGAACGCCCCCTACCTTGTGGTAGTAGTACCCAATTTAATTTAACAATTTATGCATTTTTTTCTGAAATTTTCCTTTACAATAAGAAAATAAAAACATATTTCTCATGTTAGTGGGTTGATACATATTTTATTTTTTGTCATGTTTTTAGTCTATAAAAACTATATTGGTATATTCCAAATAAATTGAATCTAAAAATCATATTCAACATTAATATTGATTTGTTCATATGGATCTGGAATGTGTACAGGTGGTTCCATATAGCCATCTTCTCCAACTTCAATTGGTTCCATATAACCATCTTCTCCAGCTTCTTGTTTAAATATTTCAACTCCATGCTGTTGTTTACTATGCTGTTGACTTATGCTAGTTGCATAGTAGTTTGAGTCTTTTTCATTTTTATTTTTCTTTTTTCCTTTCTTGATGAGTATATAACTTGAAAATGCCATGTTGGCCAATATGCTTATAGCTCCAATGACAGATAATATAGCAATAGCTGTATTATTGTCTTTGTCACAAGAAACACATTTGCATTGTGGAGATGTTTCATATCTGGTTGCTGTAGATTCTTCAATAGATTGTGCTATGCTAGATGATGCCATGCTTGTGACTTCTCCACTTGTCATCATTGTCATTGAAGTCAGATTGCCAATGACACATTCCTTTGTGTCTGTTGATACTGTACTTTTAGCGGTACATATAAACCTCGGGTTGCTTGATAAAGATTCAACAGAAACTGTATATGATAATATCACTGGTTCATTTTGTTGCTGTTGTTTTATTGCAGTTATATTACCTTCATTATCCTTCCAGTAAAGTACTATTGGAGGATCACCTGGTAAACTTGTACAGAACAGTGTCATCTGTTGCTGTCCAGTTTCAGATTCACTTGGACTAATGGAACAGACAGGTTGAAAAATAAAGTTACTTATTATAAGTATAGAATCTGATGAAGTACTTGTCATATTAGGTCGATTTAAAACCAAAGTACATACATATTCGCCATAATCAGTTTCTTTAATATTATTAACTTGTAAAATCTGTATGTATTCCACTGTTGCAGCAGATGATAATCCACGAACACTGTACTTGGCAGAATTTATCAATACAATATCATTGTCTGCAATTTTGTTGTTGTCCTTCCACCATATTATCCAATGTGAAATCATTGCCTCTAGTTCTGTCAACTGTATTCTACAGGTGAAGTTGACTGAATCAGTTCCAACTTCAGCAGTGATGAATTCTGGAAAAAGTGTCACACTGTAGGACATTACTTGCAGAACAGAAACTAGTAATATAATAGCTTGTAACACACATTTACCAAACATTTTTTATGTTTTTCTTTGTAAGAAAAATGCTGAAGTATTTTTTTTTTAATCCTTCAAGAATTGTAAATTAAATTTTGAAGATGGAATTCAGGCAAAAATCTGAAAAAATAGGAAGTTTGCAATCTACTTTAAATTGTAAATAATAACAGTAACATATATAATAATATATTTACACATTATTTAATGACAAAATTTAAAGTTTTATATACAATACCCTATAAGGATTGTGAAGAAATTCAATTTGTTTGCAAGATTTAAATGCATGACTTTAGGTGTTGAAGTTAAGCATCTTTTAAGTCATATGAGGTAGTTGCATCCTACACATCAGTTCATCAGTCAATCAAGTAAATCATCATGTCTATACCTTTTTATTTAATGTGTAAATATTTCAAAATATATAAATTGTTAACTTTAAACTGAAATAACTTCAGCACTTAATTGATTCCCAGCATAAGATTCTATGTCAGTAACATCAAAGAGAAAATCAAGCTTATGTGTGATGCTAAACACATTATCTAGGCATCTCTACATATTTATTGAGGCATATATAAAAGTAATGGACAATGTATATACATACCATTTTTGAAGTCCATCAACAACACATACTATATCCAAATCCATGAAAGTTTCTGTTGATTTTTCTCTTACAGGTACATTTTCAAGTTGGAAATTAGAGTTTTACTTCCTTATAGGCTTATGCATGATTGATTTTATTTTGAATGGATAAATAGGCATGTATAAATCCATAACAATGTAGCTTGCATACATCCAATGAGCAGACTGAAAGCAGAATCCAAAATTATTTGTCCAAATGCATCACAATAAACTTGTTTCACTTTATGTTTCCAGGGTGTATCAATTTTACCAATGGTGTACTGTATACTGTATTATCAAGTGAATACTGGCTGTTATTTGGTGATGGATTCCACTATGTGTCGGAATACATGATTGCACGTGCAAAGAAGTTTTAGACCGAGCAATGTGAAGACGATGTTGATGTCCCACTAACAGATCTTCTTGTAGGTCTGGGTAATGGCTGCTTATGTCGGATAATATTAGCGATCTATGTCTATACCTGTCTCTTATACACATCTCTTATTTCTACTGTGATCCCTAAATGAGAATACTAAAATTACAGAATAATAATAGAACAATAAGGAAACAATACAATAAATAAACATTTTCAAAACATCAGAGTCAGATTCAACCAAAATTGACATCAACATTAAACTATATATTACTATGAAGCTCATATAAATAGTGGTTCTTAATGAGTTTTTCAATGTGTATATGGATTGTGCATTTTGAACATTATAAGGAAATTCATTCCATTCATCAATAGCGGTATCGATGAATGAGAATCTACTATGTGTACCAGATTTTTGTTTATAAATTGACATTCTAGAAGTAGAAAATCTAGTATTATAGTTATGAAATAGGTTAGTGAACTCAATACCAATATTTAAATATACAGGGGATATGCCATTTATAATTTTTAAAATTTGAATACATTTACGTTCAGCAACTCTAGTTAAACCAGGTAGCCAATTTAATTTTATATATTCATTATAAGTTTTTGAGTAAGCGAAGAGAACCACGTACAGCTCCCATAGTCATTGTGACATTGTATAAGTGAAGACCCAAGCAATTTGAGTGATTTATACGTTAGATATTTTCTATTTCTGAAAAGAAATTTAAGTCTACCATGTACCTTACCTAAAACGTTCGTACCAGTGGATTTACTGCTAAGGTGCTGATCAAGATCAAGACCCAGGTACATAATACAAGTTCTGGCATTTATCTTGCAATTATTAAAGGTAATATCCAGTTTTGATTGTCTTCTACACATATTTCGTGTTCCATATAATATAGATTCAGTTTTGTCTAAATGTAGCATTAGTTTATTATCAATAAGGCATTTATTTATAGATTTTAGTTCTTCATTATTGAGTTTCAATGTGTTTTACATTATTACTTGATACCATTAATGCTGCATCATCAGCCTACAATAATAATTAGCATTCTACGGAGGATGACATGTCGTTGCCATAACTAGAAATAGAAGAGGCCCAAGTATTCAGTCCTGTGGCACACCACACTTTGTTTCTAGCATAGGGAGATGTAGTACCATTTATGTCGACGACTTGTCGACATCTTCCCCTCAGATATGATTGCATCCAAACAATAGAGATATCAGATAACCCTATAGCTCTTAATTTAGACAAAAGAATTTCATGTTGAACGGTGTCAAACGCTTTTTTTAAATCTAAGACTAACATACCAGTATATTCACCATTATCCTATTTTTTACGTATATAATCAGACAGATGTATCAAGCAAGTGTCAGTAGAGAACGATGGCCTAAAGCCCGACTGGAAATCGTAAAGGAGGTTTTTATCAGTTAAGTAGCTCATTAGTTGATCATATATAATACGTTCAACAATTTTGGAAATTGCAGATAGTATAGATATGGGCCGATAATTCCCAGCATGTAAGTTATCATTTTTCTTTAGGACTACATCTAGTTCTAATAGATAAATTAATAATGGATGTGAGCGGCTGAACAATGCTCTTAGCACCATCTTTAACAAACCTAGCAGGTAAGGAATCTAATCCAACTCCTTTGTTAACATTAAGTTTGTTAATGACGTCAAGAACTTGATCTTCATCAGCTTCCCTTAATACAAGATCACCAGGTTTTACATCTTTTTTTCATAGAATTCTTTTACATGACTTTCATTAAATACAGTGTTCGAATAAAGGACTGAATAAATACATCGTGTAGCATAGCTCTCAACGAATGTAGTCCTGTAAATAAATGAATAAAGAAATTGTGTAATAAAATGCCTCTGGCGGGACTCGAACCTGCGACCTCTCGCTGTCAAGGCGACAGAGCATCATAACCATTAGACCACGGAGGCTTCATGGTTGAACAGATTCAAATACCACACCAGATACACTCTATTACACACAATAGGTACGGAGAATCTCCTGCAAATTGCGGGAGTCTTTTGGAAATCAAGACAGCATCCACACTCCTGCAGGAAGCAAAAACCTCATGGAAACTAATAAGACTAGTAGAAAAAATTTTAAAAGAGGCCTAGAAATCAAGTTAGGGGGGGGGGGGGTGGAATGTTAGAAGCAGTCAGCATAGCCAGATATACTAATTAATCCCTTCTGATCACCCTAAGCCCTGTTGACACTTGATTTTTCGTCCAGTATACAAATGGCGACCATTTTGAAAAATTGCCGCCAAATTTACCTAAAATGTACATAAAACTGGAACTAAAGCTAGATGTATGATCTTGGTGTCAAAACACATGTACTTGAGGCAAGGAATCCATTAGATGTATAATAAATATGATTATGGTAATAGTTAATTATATTTAGGCTTCAATTTTAAAATACAGATTAAACTCTGGTGGCAGGTACAAATCATTATTAAAACGCTAGCCAGGCACAACTAAATTATGCAAAACTATGTCCAAGCATCAATGACCAATAACCTTATGTACTATTGACACTTTTGTGTGACTGTACTCTACTGTATAATAGACGTATGGAAAATAATAAATACGATAACCATTTTTTTTTTCAAAATTAAATAGCGAATTGTAAAGTTTTATTTTGCTCGTTAAAAGTTAGTGGTAAAACAATCCCCCGCCAGACACCAACCCGGTATTTCTGAGTCTAGATTTCGGGGCAGTGATTGATATAAAATAACAATATAGTGTGATATAGATGATTAATAATTATTAGTAAACTATCCCCCGCCGGACACCAACCTGATATTTCTGTGTCAAGTTTTCCGGGCAGTGATTGATATAAAATAACAATATAGAGTGTGATTATAGATGATTAATAATTATTGGTAAAACTATCCCCCACCGGGCACCAACTCGGTATTTCTGAGTCTAGGTTTCGGGGCAGTGATTGATATAATATAACAATATAGAGTGTGATTATAGATGAATAATAATTATTGGTAAAACTATCCCCGCCGGACACCAACCCGGTATTTCTGAATCTTGGTTTCAGTGTAAACAAGTTTGTAATAAACAATTTCTAAACTATTTGGTGCTTTACATAAAATGTCAATGAGTAACACATTAATCATTTTCTGTCTCAGATTCTTCATCTGACGAGCAGTTAAGAGGATTTTGGCAGAGGTCATTGCAGCCGCATGCTGCGGTACATTGCAGATTTCTTGACCGGCAGGTACATCTTGTAGTATTGCAGGACATACATTTGCAATTTACAATATCTGTGAAGTCACATGGTAATAGGTCATCCATTAGCAGCTGAGGCTTTAACATCCCTGTATCTTGGTCTTTACACCAACCTTCACCAACTGGTGAACCATATTCTGGCTGTGGAACTCCGGACATGTACCAAACCTTACTTTGAATGTGGGCCCGTTTGATGTGTTGTGCAAGGGACGGTTGTGTGGGTGGAAGATTTCTGAGTTCCTTTGTACCTTTCTGGAACAATTTGAAGCGTAAATCATTAATCAATGTCTCGGTTGTTTCTGGGCAATACAACTTACAAATAAATGCTTCTACTTTCTGGGTGGTTTCTCCTTTAAGTGTGTAAGATCTTCAAAGAGATTACAGTGTTCCTGGAATGTTTTCCATGATGTTTTTTTTTCCCACAAGCTAGAAATTGACTTACAGTGTTACACCCAGTCAGTGCATGATAAGCTGCTAAGTTCTTTCGTATGTTTACAGGTAGACTGACTTCATGAACTGCAACAAAACGTCTTCGCTGAGCAGTTCCTGTTCTAAACCAAATTTCTTGGCTCAGTTGGTTAGCAAAATGCACAAGGAGTACTAGCACATCAGTATCTCTGCAGCAGATTATGAGCCGTTCATATCCACTCTTGCAAGCAGCTAAAGCATGTAAAATGATTCTAGTGTCTGCCTCTTCATGCATAGACTTTAGAAAAGGCACATTTGCATCATGAGATGAAGCACCTCTGTTTCATTTAGAAATCCACCTGATGTGATTATTTCACCATTAAGCATGGTTTCTCTAGCTTTGGACGATATACTTTCACTGAGGAAGTGTGCAAGATCTTTTTTATTTTCTGGAAGATCTATAAATTGTTTCCATTTGATAGGAAGAGGAACATCCTGGTTTGTGACTATTCTTCTTTGGTTTGCTCTGAACACCAGTTCTTTTAATTAGTGTTCCTAACTTAATGGAATTACTCTTATATCTGTCAAAAGTGACATCTACCTGGGTGCATGTTGTGTTAAAATTATTGTAGACAGCTGAGGAAAACGCTTCTGCCAGATCTCCAAATGTTTTTGCTCCAGCAGGTTTACCAATTGCTTGGTAACTTTTTGTTGTCCCCCTGTCTGATGCCGAGAGGAGCTTCGATGTTTTGTGTTGCAATATCTTTTGTTGCAATGCTGGTTAATTCTGGTTTATAGTAGCTAAACACCGAAAAGCGCCTCATTTTTCAGTAAGCTTGATTTTAATTGGTTGTAAGTTTTCTTGCCATGCTCATCCTTATTGTACAGCATTTTTTTTACAAATGTATGGCAATTGGTTTAAATTTTTAAAAAGTTATTTAAATCATAACTTACCATCTTTTAATTATTTAATTGCATAAACTTGAAACTAAAGTAAATGTTATCAGTTGTCAGGTAGCTGAAGGCAGTAATGCATGACAAGAAGCATAAGC